GAACTGCGTCAGACCTGTATTGTCTTGATTAAATGGTTGCGGACTTCTTCCAGAAGGATTCCAGCTATCAGCGGTCGGTGGATTATCCACAACACGCGGAGGCTCTTGGAATAGGCGATAAAGTTTCTCACAGAACTTGAAGTTTTCCGCGTCTCACAAGTGACTTTTTAGCAGCCACTAACGTATCCTATCAAGACAATGCTGGTTAGTAGTTAGCAGCACGTTTTGACTCAGCGTGTGATCGACTCGTGTTTTGGCTGCTATTCGCCGCACGGCAGCCATGAAGGGCATGTTGGCCGCCCTGTAGTCACACATTGGATACGAGGCGCGTGTTGTCTCATTGACTCAATGTTAGCTTTCATCTTGTGTACTCGTCGTTCAATCTTCCGAACTACAAGATCAGGAATTCTTCCTTGCAATTCAGAAAGGTGAATCTCCTAATAGGTACTTCTGTTGGAGATATTTCGTTGAATTTGAATCTGTTTCACCAACATTTTTTCTTTCTAACTGAGAGGTGTCACTGAAACGTCAAACTGAAACCGCTGACGTAAAATAAATTAAAAACAAACACGCTCGTCACGAAGTTCGTTTCACCAACCAATTTGTCGTCATCAAGAAATGAACTATGGCAGTAGGTGGAGAAACGCTGGTCGAGAAGAGTGCTGCAGTTCTGGTGTCTGGTAACAGTGTTTTTTTTTAATGAAAAATATCAGTATCGTATAAACCCATTCAAAACGTTATTTGTGTGGATCAAGAAGGAACATAATTTTCATAGCAGTTCCCAATAAATTTTATTAATTAATTTAGATCAATCACGATGTTCGTAAACGTGGTACTTTTATTATCTCTATTTATAATATCCTTACAGTAAATCGTCCCTCAAAAGTAGTAGGTAATATTTGTATTTGTTGCGCGGCTAAATTATATAAAACTAGTTGTTGTCCGCGGCTTTGCCCGCGTAGAATTTGGTTTGTCACAATAAATTTCGTGACGGACAATTTTGAACAAATAGTTACAATATTTTTTTGTTAACCCAAAACTTCAGGTCTCCAACTTCAGAACTGACGAAATTCAATACAATCTTTGAACCCCTATTTTTCCCCCTTGGGGGTGGTAATTCCTGATTCCCTTTCTTGATGCTTATTTACGCTATACAAAGAACCTACCTGCATATTCCAAGATTCTAGATTCAGTTCGGCGAGTCTTGGCCTACACCTGCCGATATAAAGGAGATGTCTCCCAGCGACCTGTCCACCTTCCTGGAAAGGACAGGATGGACGACGACCTAGGAGGACAACTCCTCGGGAGGATGTACAATGGGTCACATGTGGCCTAAGTGCGTGGGCTTACACTCACCCTCCCTACTCTACAGATACAGATAGATTCAGTAGCTTCGGCTGAACGTTAATATAGGAGCGGACAATAGCTAGGAATTTACATTTCTACTTCAAAAATGCAGTAAGTAAAAAAATCGAGAATCGAAACTATTCATCACTAAGTGCGATTTACATTTGATATTCAGAAAGAAGTCATTGGGTACTAAATCAGGACTGTACGTAGAATGAGTCATCAATTCGATGTTTTGACTGCCCAAAAAGTCACCAGTTTGACGAGATGTATGAGATTTCGCATTATTATGGTGAAGAAATATTCGTCTTCGACGGTGTACCAATCAAAATTGTTCTACGTTTCTCAAGCGGAACCGTGGCCATATTACCCATTCGGCCAAGAAACAGGTGACCATTTGCTTCGCTGGCTTCTTCCACGAAGAATTTTTGTTGGATTTTGCTCGTCTTGGAATACCCACACGGTCTATTGCTGTTATGTTTCCGGCTCATACGCATATATCCATGATTCGTCACCTGTCACGATTTCATACACGTCTTTTGAAGCACCACGGTCGAACTTATTAATCATTTCCTTGCGCAAGCTTTTTTTGAACGATTGATAAATTATGGGGTATCCAACGGGAACAAATTTTTTTTACAGCTGAGTGTTCATGCAAAATCGAATGTATTGAAGTGAAACTAATGTTTCTCCACAGGTGATTCTTCATCCAAAGAAAACTCGTCAAAATAAGGTTTGATCAATAAAATATTTGAAAACAAATTGATGAAACAGCCACAAAATTAAGAATTGTAAAGCGTTCCATCTTTAAGAATTACTACATGATGTTTATCGACTTTGAGATGTTACAGATGATAGATATCTACTAAAAATAGTATCCACTATGATTTATTTCAGCAGGTGTTCAAAAGGGCAGCTAATTTGTTTTGATGTTTCCACCTGCTGCTTTCGTGAAACACTGGGAATTGAATCAAGAAATTTTTAAGAACTCTTCCTATTTCCCAAAACTTTTCAAACTTTTGTTAATAAAATGTACGGAATTTTTTCATATTTAGGAAGAATTTATTCATAGAAGTTTGGCTGAAAAATAATAAACAGGCTCGACCGTCCTAAAATTTGGCAGTTTCAACGTACTTTTGAATCTCACAATCAAATCACGGCTTCTGTGGAAAATAATAATTTAGGTTAAACATATGACTCGATTTTTTATATATAGAATGAGTTAACAAACTGTAGAAGCTTTGCCAATTAGCTTCTTCCCGCGTGTGAAATTTTCTGTCACATCTGCGTAGACAATACACAAATCTTCAACAAGAATTTTGGATTTTTCCGAATATATGTTTAAAAATATGTTATGTTTAAAATATGTTTTTTTCGTTAACCAGCAATCGCACCCCTACGAACGACAACCCTCAGAAGTCGATTGACTGAGTGAACAAAGCACCCAATATCAATTAATTAATGAATGAATGAATGAAAATCGTTTATTACAAATTTTACAGGTATTTACAATTTTTGTGTGTGTGTGTTTGTGTAGGACCCTGCTATATGCTTATGCCTCTTCAGGGTGGATTAATTAATATCAATTCCAACTAGTAATACGCTCTTTCCTGCAGTTGATTCAGCAGGATGTACCACTGCGCCATCTGCAGAGAAAGTCCGGAAGAAACTCCACAAACACATACTCGGGGAAGGGAGCAAGAATAATTAATAAATAAATATATTCCGGAGACTACTATATGCCCAAGTTCTGGGCATTTACTCTCATGTGAGACCTACGATTTTGTAAATACCTGTTGAAGATACTCGACGGAAAAACAACAGCTAATCCAACTAATGCCGTCCAGCAGAGCCGTAGCGAAAAGAAAAACCGAGGGGGAGAGATTCCAAATTCTCCCAACCCCACCAGCAAAATTTCCCAACTTTCGAAAAAATGAAAGCCGAGGGATTAGTTACTACTATAATATATTAATTTTCTTACTTAGCTATCCAAAGATTGGGTGAATGCGTATGCCCGTTAGGGTATGCACAAAGAAAAATAAATGTTGGTAATTATAAAAATAATTTTCTGATTGATTCGGCCGTTACTTGATGAAGATCCATAGTAATTTCACAAACTACACTTAAACGATTTGATCTCCACTAACTTTATTGAAAATAATCATAACATGTTTCGCTAAAACATTAGCTTTTTCAAATGATTAATCATTTGAAAAAGCATGAAAAAGCTAATGTTTTAGCGAAACATGTTATGATTATTTTCAATAAAGTTAGTGGAGATCAAATCGTTTAAGTGTAGTTTGTGAAAATATAAAAATAATAATGGGAATTAGTCTACTTTGGACCAAGGTCCTTGGTTTTCCACCATATCCACCATGTATAGGAGTATTCAATACAAATGAAAGGAAACAACACCTAAATAATATTGTGCTTATTGTTTTCTACTATTATTTTCTCTATCTTCTCGGCCCGAAATTTCCCAACTTTTCCAAATCGAATAAACACCGAGAAGTTGGGAATTCTGTAAAATTATCACTTCAAAATGTGTGGACTGTTCAGGACTGTTCTCTTACTTGGGGAAAATTAAACTTTTTTGAAGTTTTCAAACAACTCAGTATTTCAAAGTATGGGATCTCCAAGTTATGCATGTTGGAAATCCCAACCTTGCCCTGGTTTTTTCCCTTTCCCTTTCTTTTCTCTCATTTTTATTTTTTTAATTGTTATTCATTTTTTTGCTACTATTTTTTTCTATCTTCACTTCCCAACTTTTTCCCAAGTCGAAAAAGGAGGGGGAAGGCTCCCTCCATCCCCCCATGGCGACGGCCCTGCCGTTCAGAAAGTTGAAGTAAAACCATCAGACACCTGTGTCTGCAGAACTTGAGACTTGAATACTTTCAAGTTTAGCTACCAAACAGAGCACATAAATAGAGCAAGTAGGATCTTGCCGAAACGTCATGATAATGTCAAAGACGAACGGATGTATACCTGGGATGAGACTTCAACAGAAAAAATCAGTGAAAATTTTCGAAGAAATTTAAATGGACGGTGATTATGAATGGCGTCACAGGTGAGTCAGTTCTTTCTCCTATAAGTCATTATTTCCGTTCAAATCATGTTGAAAGTGAAGTGAGACCCCAGTTTCATCGCACTACCGCCTACAAGCTTTCTGATTTATTTATCCGAATATATTAATGGCTGGAACGGCATATAACGTGGGATGCTGGAAATACACGTTACACATTTTTCTATGTCTACCAAATCGTCAAAGTATTTATAGTACTTGCAGGAATTCGATCCACGGCAGTAAAAACTCCACGGTGATGTATACCGACAATTCGGAGCATCCTTAATTGAATATTTCAGTCTGAGTAGTTGATTTTATCTTGTTTGTCTTATTGAAAACGCATTTAAATTTCATGCGATACCACACATGAGATAAACTAAAGTGTAGACCTTGTAAATGATACAATGAGATAACCAGATTGCCTTCAAAAATATCTCGGATATGGAAGTAATACATTTGGAAAAATTACGCATACGTCATCAATGAAATAGATACGCAATAAAACACATACTATTATGTAGCATCCTTTTCTTGTACAAATGAAACCAGAAGACAAATCAGTTGAGGTTCGCATATAATTAGCAACAACTCTTGTTTGAATAATAGCTTGCACTCGGTATATCGAATAGAGATAGCCATACAAACGCGAGTCGTCGGCAATTTCTGAAATTTTGAGACCGATTAATGAAGTTTTATTATCGTTTGACAGTTTCAATTATTTTAGACTACACAAATAGTTGTTCTCACAACTAATAAACTATGGGCATTTTTTATTTGTCAGTAAGTAACTTTCACATTATAATTATAATTTCAAGTCTCAAATTGGGAATGGTTTAGTCTAATATTCCGCATGCTTAAATATTTAAAATTGTCAAATATCGGATTTGGAAAATGGAATTTCAAATACAATATACCTATACATAGAATAATCAATGAAATGCTCATTAACCTTATGAAATTGACCAAAAATCGTAACATGGGTTTAATTTTTGGTGGATTTAGAGAGGACAAAGGTACGCGTAATCCTTTGTTGCCCCAACTGTGAAAACACCAATTTGTGAAGAAAACAGGAAATGAAATTACAAATGGGTCAGTGAAATTTTAATACGTACAAACAATTATGCGTACACGATTATATTAATAAATTGCTCATCTCCACAACTGCTTGACTAAATGCGTCGTTGTTCAATATAAGCACAGATTCTTTAAATTTCCTTTTGAACCAATGGTCTTTCCTATGTTGATGTTGGTGGAATCCAAACAAGGTCCGCTATTCCAGTTTTTCTAGTTTATCTCCCCGGTGTATTTATTTTGTGATTGTAAGCAATTAATTGATTTATTGAGTTTTAGTGAGTACGGTTAGAGTAATTCAAATAAAATTGATGAAATACTGAGGATAACTTTCCCAATTTTCAGGCCTTTCGTTCATCTAGATACTCTTCCAGCCCAAAAATACTTTTCACTACAACTTGATTTTTTTCGTAGAAAATGATGAAAATTGATGTGAGTGCATTGAGATCTTTCTGCCCATATAACTCACATTGAGGAACACCGATAGTTCAAACTCAATTCTGAATCATTCATATTCATTTAAATCATATTAATGACTACCAAGATAGACAATGTATTTGTCTCTAATTCCCAACTTGAGAGAGAGAGAGAGAGAGAGAGTATTGCGTATTTTCAATTCCCTATAGGACTTGTTGCATTCACATGGTATCCGGTCAATCAATTCCTTAAGTTGTTTTCCGTGTGGGTGACTTTGTTTTGGTGAGAAGGCTGCTACGGACGGTATGCCCAGATCTGAAGCAGGTTCAGACCTAATTCTTATTATCTCCGACAGTCCTCTTCATTGGGAAGAGATGGCACTGGCTGTCATGATCTTTTTTCTTATGGGACTGTTATCTTCTAACCAAAGTCTTTTCTAACAGTTTTATGGAGTAACCATTCTGTTGAAGATATTTCTTAATGAGGCACAGTTTCTTGTCCAAACTTTCATTTGTGTTAGGGAGATTGAATGCACGATCAATTAGGGAATTAAATATTATGATCATCGTGGATTGATGGTGGTTCAATTCATAGTTCAGTACTGTCTCGTGTGAGTTGATTTTCTGTATCAAATCATTGCTCAGATAACTCGTCGTTAATATTTTTCTCATTCGTCATTACTGACAAAGTAATATTTGTATGCTGGGGATATATGATTCTGAACAAGGAAATTCAATAGTTTTGTCGCCGTGAATTGTGATTTCTACAGGCAAAGGAAATGTGGTTGAGGTCAGCAATGGATTGATTCACTATCACGTGAGTGTAACTATCCAATACTATTCCAGTTTCATAGACATAGGCAGGGTATCTGCCGTGGTTAAGTCCGAGAATACCTACCACAGTTAAGTCTTAACCGTTTCATAGTTACAAAGTAAGCTCTGGATATAGTGGTATCGTTATTAAGTGAAATATGAACAGGTTGAGATGGTTGTATCAATAAATAGTGATTAGAAGTTATTCAAAAAAGAAGAAATTCCAGAAAATTTCCCACCTATTTCATCATTTGGTTTAATAATAATAATACGTTTTGCCGAGATTATTGGAACTATTCGTTCCCCACCCTCAGGCTCATAAAAGCCAATAAGCCTGATGTAGTCCTTCTCGATTACCATGCAGAGCAAAACGATATTTGTCGTGGAGTTTTCAGCTTCTGGCGAGACAAATATCGTCAGAAAAGAGGAAGAAAAACGGATAAGATATCGAGATTTTCTCTTCGAACTCTCTACTTTCGAATCTCAAAATCTTACCGGCTTGCCACACTAAGGCAGAAATCTTAGCCGCACAGATGCAGAAGGCTGTCATTCTTGGCTCACTGCGCTCAAGGCACATGATTCTCGAACCCAATGATCACTTATCCCACGATGTGGGGAGTGGTCATTGGTTGATAATGCTGGGGTGCCCTCCCGAATGTATTGGGGCTTCGGGGAATAGGGCCTGACCAGCGCACACTACGGTAAAAAAATAGGTCTTTATTATTTTCCACATACAGTACATCTATTTAAAAAAAATATATTTAAAAAAATTTGGAAAATAAGGAGCGAAGTTCATTTTCTCCAATGAAGCAATAACTTACTTCATCAGGAATATGTTCTTCCACTTAACTCTACCAAGACCGAGCATATCTTTAAAATTACCTGCCTTAGTTATTGTAGACAGTTTATTGCATCTTTTGCTTGCTTGATTGTTCACTGTATTGCAAACAGAAACAACTATTTGGTTTCTTTCAGAGAAAGAAACCAAATATGGAGAATTTTCCTGATATAAAAACGCAAGTGGAAGGGTAGTTAAATGTATTACTGCTGATTGCTTTCAGCCAGTTGAGTTTGTGAATCATTAAAGTTTGATAGTTGAGAACAAGAGCTGTTTTGTTGTCAGTTTTTTGCTGCATGATATTGACCATAGGTTAAAGTGTTCATTAAACACAACACAGGGAGATTGATGATGAATTTTTAGATGCTGTACGGCATGGGAAAATGTCATGACACTTATTAATCACAATCAACGAAACATTTTATGAGTGTGCTGCTATATACGGATCATCAACTGTCCGTCAAACAAATAAAATAAAGTATCCGGAACAATGATCACCACGCACAATGGGTAAAATAAACATGCCTGCATTTGCTGGCCAATAAGATTTAACTGCAATCGGCTGGCGGTATTCGTTTAGATATATCGCTACAGGGTCGGAGTGATGCGTTTCAATGTCTGCGGTGTGTACATATAGGGTATTTTGAATTTGAAAAGTTTTAGAGTGACAATTACTGATATGACTGAATAAACTGTTAATTTGTGTTCCTACACTGCACCTAAAGAAAATCCTATACCCAGCCGCATATTATTAAAAAAAATTCAATTTCAGTGGTTCCTTAGTGCAACTCTGTACAAGCAGACTTGTTTAGGAGATCACGTGCACTATGCATGATAATGTTTCGGAGCACTCTTTTGCTTTTATGGACAGAGTAAAGGAAACTACTTCAACAAAGCAGGGATCGACTCAGAGTAATTCCGGGTGACACTACATTATCCATATAGAGGATACCTAAATAAAATAAGGCTGTGTAACGGACAACTTAGCTGCAGGCAATGCAACAATGGGGCGACAATTTGTCAATCTTTATGCGCAGCATTAGATCACAGGAGGTAAGCAATTTATAGACAACCCAAATTATGTACAAGTGGATATGAGAAACATCCAAGGGGAGCAAAAACGAAATGAGCCCATGAGGCTGCAGTGTTTTACGAAAAATCGGAAAAAATTAACAAGTTAGACAGTTCCAAGCAGCAGCAAAAATAAATGTATTCAATAACTCATAATGAAAATTGTAATTCTGTTCTGTATTTGGTTGTATCTTTTTGAGATTCGTTGTTCTTAGATATGGGAACTAATTTCGAGCATGTTTTCCTGAACTAAATGGCACGTGCGTACGTGGATAGCTTGTCAATAAATAATTCCTGATTCGTGTGTTTGTGTTGCTTCATCTGAACACACCGTTATTCCACTGTACCTATATGTTGCTATCATTTCAGCAAGATCAGATTTTATAATTGTCATTATTGAGATGTTGAGAGACGTAATTCTTTCAGATTTGAGTTGAAGAAGAAGTATTATTCCATTGAAAAAACTTATAATAATATGCATCATGTACTATTTTAATAATAATCGTCTTTATTATTTCCACATTCAAAAGAATACCATAAATATTAGAAATAAAGGTTCATATATGGAAATAAAGGGCGAAGTTTATTTTCTGTTGAGTAAACACGACAGAAAATATTCTTCCACTTAACCCCAACAAACCTGTGTAATGATACAAGAAAAAAAAAGAACAAGAAGAAAAAAAATCATTCTTATAAAAGTTGAGATTGAATAAGATGTTCTTTGTAAAATTGTCTGAATTTGTGAGCATTTTGTGTTCTCATAATATTCAGAACCGGATTGCACAGAGAATAGATTTGGTAGAAAAACGACCATCTAAAATATTCCGTTCTAAAGGGCGGTACAGTCGTAGGCCTTTATTTCGAATATTCAAATTATGTACATCTGTAAGTTATTTTCTTATGTAATTAAGAGGGAACTTGTTCTCTAATTATTTTATAGCAGAGAACAACAGCATGATGTTTTCTTCTATTATCCATATTCAACCACCCGATTTCTTTCAATTTATGAGAAACTTTTTGTCGTCTTCTAATACTGTAGATTAATTTCAGACATGACTTTCGCAGTTTCTGTATCTTTTTCTTATAGAGTGTTATTAAATTAGGGCCGTAGAGAGAGTCAGCATAATTTAAGGCTGATAAAACTAGCGTTTCAAATAATGATTTTTTAACTTTAATGGGTAACAAATGTCGATTATTGTATATCAGTTTTAGATTACAGTATGCCTGTTGTAATTGTCTATTTATATGTTTTTGAAATCTCAAGTCAAGGTCCATAATTACTCCAAGGTTTTTTGCTTCCTTAACCATTTCCAGCTTCTTATCATTTACCGTAATAATGATAGAGATCTCAACTTTTTTACGCTGAAGTCTACTTCCAAACAACATAACTTTTGATTTTTCAGGAGTAATAAGTAGGCAATGGTCTTTGGCAGATTTTACGAAGGCCCCAAGATCATTATTAATAAGATTGCATGCATCATCCACCGTATGTGGAAGGAAACTATGGTAAAGTTGGGTATCATCAGCATATAAATGAATATTGCAGGCTTTTATTCCAGTTACCAGATGAGAGGAGTATATAGTAAATAAAAGAGGCCCCAGTATAGATCCCTGCGGGACACCTGTCTTGAGTTTCAAATATTCAGAGATCTTATCTTCGAGAACAACTTTTTGCTGCCTATTCTTGAGGTAATTGCCTATTAGCACTCGTGAATTTTCTGGAAAACCTATATAATGTAACATGTTTAGTAACGAATCTTAGTTAATTGTGTCGAAAGCACGACTAAAATCAGGTAAAACTAGCAGTGTGCACTGACCTTGATCAGTAGCTCTTAAGATATCATCAGTGATGTGGAGTGCTGTCGTACAGCCATAATCCTTACGGAAACCGGATTGAATTGATGGTAATAAAGAGTGACTACTTAGATAAGACTTGATTTGTGTTTCCATAGCTTTCTCTAGAGCTTTCGACAAAGTTGGCATTATACTTATTGCTCTTAAATCTTTAAATTCATTTGATTTTGTCTGCTTAGGTAAACAAGAGCATTTTTCCACATTGCTGGATATTTATTTTCAGTTAAACAAAAATTCACTATATGAGTAATATACGGTACTATATGAGGACAGCACAGTTTAAGTTCTATATTGAGTCCATCACATCTCTTGGCATTAGTTTTGATCTCATAAATTATTTCGTAAAAACTTGATAGCTCTCAGTGTTTTCTACATACCTTTGGAGGTGACATTATTAAATTGATGAAGAAAGTACGCTCTTTTCTCCGTTTTTATGAATTGACTTGTGAAGTTGCGAAGTTCTTTATATGCTCGCAAATGAATATCAGATTTTGTTCTCCTGTATTTTTTCAATGCTTTATTTCTCTCTTTCATCATTTGTGCAACTAAGGAGCTATAGCTTTCGTTACTCTAGATCAGTGGTTCCCAAACTGGGATACGCGTACCCCATTGGGGTATGCAAACATTTTTAGGGGGTACGCGGCTAGCCAAAAAACCATTAAATTTTAATGGCGGAAAAAACTCCAAAATCCAAGGTATACGCACGGTGGGCGTTTCCCTTAACAAAGTAAAACTTTGATAAACCTCCAGCATATGTTTTTTACATCCCTTTCGTTTTGCTAAAATTTTTGTTTTCCATTTTAATGATGACTAAATTAAAATAAAATACCTAAATAAATAAAATGAAATGATTATAAAAATCAAAAGAACAATTATTTTTGATTATAATGTGAGCGGGATAAGGGAGCGCAGAGTTCAAGTCTCAATAGTGTGAAAAGTGAAGGAAAGAGCAGGTGTGCATTGAGAAGTGAGAGTAAAAAGGTGGGGGGATGGAAGGTCAAAAGGAAATTCCCTTCTACCTATTAAACACCGCCAAAGCAGTGTTTTTGCAGTAGTCAGTGTTACCTGTCAGTGTTACCTGTTAATTATAAAAACCAAAAGAACAATTATTTTTGATTATAATGTGAGCGGGATACGGGAGCGCAGAGTTCAAGTCTCGATAGTGTGAAAAGTGAAGGAAAGAGCAGGTGCGCATTGAGAAGTGAGGGTAAAAAGGTGGGGGGATGGAAGGTCAAAAGGAAATTCCTTTCTACCTATTAAACACCGCCAAAGCAGTGTTTTTGCAGTAGTCAGTGTTACCTGTTAATTTCATGATTAGTCAATGGTATTTAAACAATAACGACTATTAAAAAGGAGCTGTTTATTGAAATCTCGTGTGATCCCACGTTGAAAAAGAAATACTCTGGTACTATATTGTTAGATTCTTGGATCTGTGTTGGGAGGGAGCACAAAGAACTGTCTCGCACTGCTAATAAATTTCTTGTTGGGTTTTGCACCACATATTTATGTGAGAAAGGGTTCTCAAGTTTAACTTATCTTAAAAATAAATACAGAAATGAATTAAATGTCGAAGATGACTTAAGATTGTATTTAACTGGTTCAGAACCCAATATTGAATATATGTTCAAACAGAAACAAGCGCACCCTTCTGACTAATTTTTGTTTGGGAATTCAGCGCTTTTTCATATTTTTATTTTGTCTTGTTTGTTTGAAAGCAATCAAAATTAAATTATGTATAAATCTCTACATAAATACGTATAAATATAATTATATAAATGTGTATAAAATGTATAAATATCAATTACGTGAGCAATATATATTTGTTTTTATTTAAACATTTCTAATTAAGTTACACAGGTTAAATCTATACTAAATAGAAAACCTTGAAGCTTTTGATATGGTTTTATTTTTTACTACTGAGAAGAGGCACTCAAAATGTTTTGGTACTAAAAAGGGGTAGTTTGGAAACCCCTGCTCTAGATAACGAAAGTTAAAGCTACGTGGTAGAAGGAAAGAGGTAGAAATTAATTTTGATAACTGCTGAAACAATGTGAAGGAATAGGCAAATAAGTTAACGGCAATATTTTATGGGAATATTATTGCCATAACAATTTTTTTCTTTCCCATGATCTCTTCGTAACTTTCTTCGTTATCAAAAACATGAAAAATATATCAAAATATTACAATTCGAAATTGTATGAAGTAAATAATTGCAAAAAGATGAAAAACTAACCATATGAAATATAAGAGTCTATAATTAAGTTTCTATTCCGTCTGTAATTTTTCATATGGTGTTTCTTTTCTAGTTATTTTCGAAATGGAAAAAAAACTGGCCAATGAAAAGTTGAACAACACGCTGAGGAGATTGATGTACTAATAACTTCTGGAGCGGAAGTGGAAAGATCACCTTCTTAGATACATTTTTTATGTTAATTTAAATTCACTTCGGTTTATATGTAATATAGAATAGGATAAGTAAGACAAAGAACCAGAACTACCCATGTAATAATATTTTGAAAATATGTAAAATTCCACTATGAACTGCATGACGTGTTTTAGCGATGTCTGCGAACACGAAAAATTATGTTTAAAAATACTCATATGTGACGTTAAGTCGCCACGTAACAGACATCCTACTTTGCCAGCGACGAATAAAAATACCCTTGATTAATTTCTGGAACTTCGAAAAGGCATCACGTCAATTCGTTTTTATGTATTGGACAGGATGTAGTCATTTGACTTAAAGAAGGCTTTTCATTGAATGAAAATACTACATGAAGTTTTAGTGGGTGATGTTGACTCATAATAAGTATATTCTAGAGAAATGTATTTCAGTGTTCCACATATAACTCTAGAGATATACAGGCCGAATATTTCGTTTGGTTCGAAGAATCATGTTTTAAATTTCCTGAATCTATGCAGTGTACACAGGCACCGCTCTTGAGTGCCTTAAGGATTTTCCTGTAGTGCTTGTGTTTTGTCCTTAAAAAAAACAGAAAACAGATATTTCTGTCGCATTTGATTATTTTCCATGCTCTCATTGATTTTTACAAGTCGGATAAGTTATGATATTCAACTCGATTCCAACAGAATTGAAAATTGAAGTCAACACCTAAGTAACAACTGAGTTCTATATCACCAAGCTTAGCGAATCGACCTTTACATTGATAATGAGATAACGACATAGGTCAACACTACATGTATAATAGTACCTCATTTTACATTTTTTTTACATTCTCTTTGTCAGTAGCTCTTTCAAAATCGAGTGAAAACGAAAGTCGGACGTCACTAACATTTAATATGAACTTGGCAACACCGTAAAACTTATTCATATCGTCTAATTTAATGTTATTCTTGTTTCTGTATTCTTCTAGTTCACATTACGAAACAAAGAACCTACGAATTATATATGTATTTCATCAGTTATTTCGGAAAATGTAAAGTTCCACTAGATTAAAAAAATTCGTATATATAATATATATAATCATATAATTTATATTAACACAAGTTATAGAACAATGAGAAAAAGAACAGAGGCATATTTGCAGGAGATGGACATTTTCAAAATTCTCTTGAATGAATTTTTGTTTTGAAGTTACTTGCATAAAAACTTTTTTCAACATTCAAATGAATAATTTTTTTTTTCCATGCGAAAATCGTACGCCAACGAAAAAACAAATCTTATTTGCTCAGAAAAGACTAATAATCTCTAAAATGATTGTTGCTTTGAGAAGATGCAATGGCATATCACTTTTTGAAATTATTCAGTGCACAGACGCCACTGGCAAGAATAAAAAATTGAGTTGCACAGCAGAAAATGCATTTTGATACTAAGAAGTATACTAGGTTTCACAAAAATATTTAGTGTCATACCAGAGTTATTATAAGAGATATTTTCCCAAAATATTAAAACCCTGTATTTTGAAAGCAAATACCTTAATGATATAATTCACATATTTTTCCCGAAAAGGATTTGGATAAAATCTCCTTGAAAATTGGTAATTCATTAAAAAACATCCTCTATAAAGAAACTCATCATCACTAGGATGAGTTTTTTATTGTGACTGTTTATCTTTGGAACTCTTGAAAGTTTGTCATCATGAATATAAAAATATTCTTTCTGGAATGTTTAATAGTGGTTGATGTTTCAAACAATTTGATGGAACTAACTACAGCTTATAAAATATAAGAAGAAACCTGTGAATTATCATTACCATATCGAAATTTAGAAATTTACGATAACCTCTAAAATATCATAAGACAATGGGGAACGTTCCTAAATTTGGGTTATTACAGAAAATGCAAGTTTGAACAAAATAAAGTTGAGTTCAATTCATGAGTTTTTCAAATTCACTTCGAAAAGTATTCAAATTGATGTTTCAAATGTTGGGTTTTAATTTTTAAAGGGGTTAGTTTTTAATTTACATATTGGCAACAGCGCCTGGAATGCTAGATTGGAGTTCAGGTTAGTAGTATGCTAGAAGAAGAAGAATTATGTCAATAGTGTCAAATCTGTCAATACGTCCATTTTTATTATGATTTAATCAATTCAAAACTAGGTTATAGTTCAATACCACCTCCACAAGCCAGATAAACAACAGTTGTTTTGTTATTTATTTATATAGAGGAAGATAGGTTAAGTGCATAAAATGTCATATATCACAGAATGACTCGGAACATAAGTAAACAGAACAGCACGCCTCTGAAATATGTCATCTTTGTTTGTCTTTTACAGGTAACAGATTCATTGTCCTTTATTAGCTATAACCGATGTTGCCAAATGGTGAAATAGAAACGAATCCCTTTAAATGTTGAATACATTATTTCATTCTTATTTTTTAAGTATTTAAATAATTTTTTAAAGAAAAAGGTTGAAATGATAAGTTCAAAATGAGTTGTTTCAGATCTCTTTTATGAAAACTACTTGATTTTCGTCAGGAGGAACATTCCCCATTGTTGGTGGTCATTATTCGGTAATTTCAATCGTATTTTTTTTGTTGTCGATTTTCCTCAGTTTTCCTCAGTTTCCACATGTTAGCTTTTTCTGAGAAAAAAGTTAAACATCAAATTTCTGGAAAGCAAATGAACCAATTTTGAAAAAAATGTGTGGTAGTTGCTCGCCATAAAAAGTGATGAATTTTTAAAATTAGATCCTATCGAATTGAAAATAAACCTCTTTTATTAAAGTTTCTGATCACACGTCCGATCCGTTATTGCACGGGGAATAAGTTTTGTTTTTTTTTAGAGACAAAACACAAGCATTACAGGAAAATCCTTAAGGCGCCCTCAGAGCGGTGCCTGTGCGAAAGTAGCGATTCACATTGGATTTGAATCGCTGGAGATTAAATCCATTTGGAAAAACGTTCTCAGTAAGTTCGAGGTGTACTGAGTTGAACCTCAAAACGATGCGCAGCCACAGTCCGTCGCGTATTTCTGATATGTACTGCTCACCGTGAAAGTATCTATAGAAGAGAAACAAATCTCCAAACTTTCTTCGATGCTCCAGGCTATAAAGGTTGCACGTGATGTTCGCGTGTCCAATCAGGCGGATGGCTATTTTCTGGATGGAATCCAACAACTTGATATCACTGAAGATTTTTCTTGCTCTGTATGGGAATAGGCTGAAAGTGAGCAATCTCCAACAAGAAGAAAAACCCCCTTTCTTGTAAGACAGGTTGTAATGTCTGCAAAATACTGATGCGAGTTCATTTGCGCACTTTTTAAAAACGATGACGGGCATTTCATCAGGGCCAGGCCCCTTGTTGATATTGAGCCGTTTCAAAATTCGCCTAACTAGACGCTGTCGAAAAGTAATTTTCGGCATTGTGGATTCTAGCATGGGAAAAGTGGGTGGCGCCTTTCCCAGAAAATCGACTGTGCAGTAGGACGAAAATTGTTCAGCTAGTAGATTTGCTTTTTCTATGGCTGTTGTTGCAATTGAACCATCCGCTTGAATTAGTGGTGGAATTATGAATTTTGTAAAATTCTGATTAACAGCATCAGCTACCGACCAGAAGGATCTAGATCCGTTGGGATTGGCAAGCATATTATCCCTAATTCTCTGATATTGAAGTTATTTGCTTTCATGTATCTTAAATTTGCAGCTGTTGCGAGCATTAACAAACCTAGTTCGGTTTTCGGCACTGGGATATTTGCGCCACTGCCGGTAGGCGAGATTTTTGAAGGCGACATCTTGCTTGCAATTTTTGTTGAACCAAGGTTTACCGTTAGAAGATCGTTCCATTGAAAAAGGAATATATGCATCCATGGATGATAGAATAACTTCCGTGAATTCAGAAGCACAAGTTAGTGGATCTTTAGAGCTGAAACAAACATCTAACCAGGGGAAATTTCGGAAATGGTCTTGAAGATTCTCCCATTCAGCTGATCTGTAATGCCAAACTTTGCGCGGCTTAGATTGTTCCCCAACATTCATCTGTAATTCACTCAACAGTGCAATGAGTTTGTGGTAAGATCTCAATGTAGACCTTACGGTGACTGTGTTAATTTCCGGATTGGTATAGATCCAGAAGACTAGCATATTCTCCATCACGGTCAGGAATACTGGTTGGTTCATTTAATCTGAGTAAGTCCGCTGCTTATTGCAAAAGCCTCAGCTTCGTGACCTTGTTCGTCGTTGATATTTGAAAATTGTAGCCATTCGATATTGTGGACATTAAAGTCACCGAATATGGAAATTTCGGCACTAGGATGATTGATTTGCAGAAAGTCAATGGTGTTTGCAAGTGAAGAGAATAGTGCCTTATATTATGTATCGCTAGGTGGTCGATAAACGCAGCATAGGTGTTAGAAATAACCATTAACATTTGTTAATTTTTCAAAAATTATTCATATTTCTTATTTTTTTTAAACCCTTTGTAGAACCTAATTGGAGCATTTCAATTTTAATCGTTCAATGTTATAATTCATCCTGTATATATAAAAATCTCATCTGACAGGAGAAAGTTGTTGAAGATAAAACGTCAAATTGAATGAAAGAGATTAATATTGAAATTCTCTTTTGAGATTTGTTTGAATTAGGGACAATCGTAAGTTGAATAATGTTTGTTTAAATTGTTCATTTTCTTATTTGCGTTCTTTTCAGGAATTTGAGTATATAGAGATATGCATTATACATTGTTATGTGTATAAAGGTGCCCTGTTGAATAAAATTATTTCCTAGTAAAACTAGTTACAGTGGTTTATTGATATATACTGCAAATTGGTCTCTCAGTAACCTATTCAAACTAAGTAATCTCAACAAGAGGAATTTGGTGATCTTCTGTGATATTATTTTGAACCACATAACATCAAAGTTTCGGGGTTCCAACATTTCCTCTCGTTGACAGAAGAGATCGATTCTGATAACAAGAGATATTCCAAAGTTACGTCTGAAT